ATATAAATTTTGTATCTTCTGGGCATTTGAGTGTCCCCTAGAAAACTGCATGCTTCTCTTGGAAGAGATAAGTTGGTGTGTTTCTTGTTTTTATAGCACAGCTACACAGATGAATGAAAATATTTTAAATACTTCCTAACGCCATGATATTAGTTGAAGTGTATGTGCAACTGAAAGGCTTTGATACCTATTGGAAATAAATACCTGTTATACAACAAATTTATCTCTTTTTTGTGATTAGCTGTCTATAGGTGTGTGCAGAGAATAAATACTCAGTTCAGGGATGTTTTACTGAGCAAATAGTCTCTCTATTCAGAACTTCATAGATAATATAGCTTCCCCTTTTGGGATCTAAAACTTTAGAAATGTATTTTAGTTTCACGTGTCTAGAAGATCTTGCACTGTTAGCTGAATGTTCGCTTTTTGGATATGTTCCTCAAAGCTGAAGAATACTCAAAGCTTCTGAAGCGGACAGTAAGGAAATGAGGCCTGCTAAATTACCTGTTGCTCTCAGATGTGAAGTTGTTTGGTCCTGAATTGAAGAATGCTTGCAAAGTCTGTCTTCCTTAATCCAGAACATGAGCCTTTGTATATTCATGCCATAGGAAGTTTGAAGATCTTGACAGAACCTTGAAGGAACATTTCTTTTCGAGAAAATAAAGGAATCTATTTTCTAAAAACAAAAACAAGCTTGCCACTTATAGGTGCTCATTTCTGAACTAAATGATTTTTTTTCAGACTGTCAAAGCAATAAGTTGGAGTAAAGCAGCAGTTTCCAACTTCATTGTAAAGCCACTTGCTTTATTGGTGCCTGACCAGAAGAAGCTCTTAATTTGCTCTAATCCAACAGTTTTCCCGGTGAATTTCTAAAGGTGAAGACACTCCACTAGAAGCATTCAAAAGAATTAAATAATCCATAATTTTGGACTACAAAAGTGTAGAGTAAAGGAATGAATATCAGTTGAGAACGGTGTTTGGTTTTCGCTCTCCTTGGGAATTGGTCTGCATAGATGCCAGAAAGAAAACTTAAATTCTGACATAAGATTTTTGTTAAACTGTCTGTCTGAGATTAAGAAATGAGGATATCAGTTTACCAAAGGCAGTAATGGGTTAACCTACTCCTGGAGGGCAGCAGTAGCTGCTGAGGTACTTGGAATCCATCCTTTTAATCCATAGAGTCCTTGACATGCAAATTAGGACCAATTAAGCTCTCTGCATAGGGTAAATTGAAGGAAATGACATTTGGGACAAAAAGAAACAGCTGCCAAGGCATTCAAAGATGTCCTACATTTGGAGTAATGCCTGGAATTAATCTCCGGTTCTAAAGCGTTGAAGGCTTGTCAGCCATTTCAAACATGTTTTTAGTGGGGGGAGTAGTGGATAAGATAATTGCAACATTTTAAAAATAAATGATTAGCAGTGTACCTAAAACTCACTTTAGAGCATTCTAAAGTGTAAAAAAAAAAAAAAAAGGTTTTGGAAAATCAGGTAGTGAAAAAGCAAGACTGAGAACAGACATGCAAATATCTCATGAGAAAATTCCAGTAATGTTTAAACAAAGAGAAACAGAGGAAAAAATAACTAAAATAAACTGAAAACATGAAAACATGTTTACTGAAAAATAAGTCTTCATGAACATTAACATAGTTGTTGGAGAGGAAGCCTTGTTGTTAAAAGCACACAAGACTGGGAGTCAAGATCTGGATTCTATTCCTGGCTCTGCCACAGATTTCCTGTATGACCGTAGACAAGTCATTTGACACCTCTAACTCCTCTTTCCCTGTAGAATGAAATGGAGATACCTCCTTTTGTCACAGGGATGTTCTAAAGTTTAATTATTTGGGTGCCAGAGCTAGAAACAGTGACTAGACTTTACTCAGCTCCAGTTGGCTTGGAAGCACCTGGGAACCAGTGATTGGATCCATTTGCAACAGACTGGTGACCGTAGAGTGGTACCGGGCCACGTTGTAACACCAGTCTCTCTCAAAGTGAATATAACAAAATTAGTCTCTCTCTTTGCAGAATATAACAAAATTAGAGGTGTTATGGATCTCAGATGTTTGACTGATAGAACCCTGTACAGTAACTCCCCACTTAACGTCCTCTCACTTAACATTGTTTCGATCTTATGTCCCTGCTCAATTACAGAACATGCTCCATTTAAAGTTGTGGAACGCTTCACTATAACGTCATTTGGCTGCCTGCTTTGTCCACAGCTGGCAGCCCTCCTATCAGTTCCCCTACGCGCCCACCCCCCCACAGCGCCTCCCGCCTGCCAGCACACCGTGCGGATCAGCACCTTCCCCCTCCTGCCCGCAGCAATCAGCTGGCTTGCAGCTTTCAGGAGGGAGGGCGGAGGAGGGAGGACTCGGTGCGCAGGCTCCCCCTTCCTCCCCTGCCTCCTGAACGCCGCAAGCCAGCTGATTGCCGTGGGTAGGAGGGAGGGGGGAGGAGCGAGGATGCAGCGCACCTCCCCTGCCTCCTGTCCAAGGCAATCAACTAGCTTGCGGTGTTCAGGAGGGAGGGGGAGCCTGCGTGCCGTGTCTCACTCCTCCCCCCTCCCTCCTGCCTCCTGAACGCTGCAAGCCAGCTGATTGCCGCGGGCAGGAGGCAGGGGAGGAAGGTAGGAGGAGCGAGGACGCAGCATGTGGAGTAAAGGGGGAGGGAAGAAGAGGACGGTTAAGTGGGGGCTTGGGGGAAAGGGTGGCGTGGGCGGGCCAAGGGTTGAGCCCCCCGCCCCTGGTGCTTGCAGAGTAGGGGAAGCTGCTGCTGCACAACGTGCTTCTCCTAGCCTACAGCACCTTCAGCCTCCTTGCCTGCTTCATTGTCTCCAGTGCCAGTGGGCTGTGCCTGTGTGGGGTAAGGCCGGGGCACCTCCCAACTATAGTACTGTACTGTGTGGCCAAAAAAAAAAAAAAAATTCCCTGGAACCTAACCCCCCATTTACATTCATTCTTATGGGGAAATTGGATTCGCTTAGCACATTTCATTTAAAGTCGCGTTTTTCAGGAACATAACTACAACGTTAAGTGAGGAGGTACTGTACCATATCTTGTGTACCTCCTAGATCAGTATTATCTGGGGATCTCTTTCCAGTATTCTTTATATCTGAATGGCAACTAGCAACAAATGTTTCTTTAATATAAGCCATACTTTCACAAGTTCATGTTCTTGCTCTCCATAAAAGCCACCTGCTCATTTTTTCTCTCAGACATCCAGAAATAAGGATAAATCTCATATGCCTAAGAGAAAGGCATGCTACAATCCAGGACACTTCATGGATTCCATCACCCTTACGGATGCAAATACTCTCTCTTGTTCCTCCCCTCCCCCCACAAACACACAAAAAAAGTCTATTGTTAATCAAACTTTTCTGACATTCATACCTCTAGTTTTAAGACAGCATGCTTCCTCTGTGTATAGCATTAGTTCCCAAGACAATTACCAGAATGTAATTACCACATCAGTCAGGACTTTTATAGTGACTATTGGAGGAAGTCACTTCTATTTGGCTACTGCAAAATCCAAATGGGAGTGGTTTTGATTTATTCATACTCATTGCAATTTGTCCCTTAACTCCCTAAACTGCAGCTGCATCTCCATTATTATATACTGTTGGTCAGGGCCCAAATTTTGTCTTTCTAGTAGTCAAATGTGTTTACCTGAGAAGTGAGAATGTGCTGTTCTTCGCTCCTAAGAAAATACTACTTTAAAAACAGTTAAATGTCATTGGGTATACTGGGATCAGAGGCTTCCCTGCAGTGATTCTTGCTAATGTGCAGAGGTTTAAACTGACAGCCAAACTTGTGATCATGGAACAGTTTTTTCTCAGGTTATTATGGCAGTGATGGTATGTTATCTCTTTCCTCTTTAGCAGTGAACAAAGGTTATTTTGTTAGCTCTATCTGAGGGTATCATTCTCAAATTGATTTTCCTGTGATTGCATCGGTGGTCCATGGTGGACCCCATTACTTTCCATGCTCTCTGGATCTATGTTATGCACCTGATAGAAATGGTCCTAAGAAGCTATGCTAGATAATGCACACAGTATTTCAGCAACTACATTTGTTTTTCTCTTATGCCTCTCATCTCTACTTTCCAGAAGAAGGTATATAATATAACCTTTTCAAATTTCTTTGAAAAGGTGGATAGCTTTCATGGAGATCTTATGGTTGCTGCATCACTTTTCATTGTTTGTTAGTTTGGGGTTTTTTTGGCAGTGGGTGGGTGTTGTTGTAGTTGTTTCCAAAATTGTTCTTCAGTTTTAGTCTGTAATGCAAGTATACTGTTCACACACCCTGCTTTGCCATTGCAGCACTTCTGATTAGTGTGCCATTTAGTTTGACTGCTCTTAAGTAGAGCAAGTGGCAGACTGATGACAGGACCTCTGACTATACGTGTATCATGTACGTGTATAAAGAAAAGTGAGGTGTCAAGTGCTAAGTGGTGAGAAAAAAGCCTAAATACATCAGGCAGTATATTAGCTGCACAGGGTCCCTTATTCATTTTTCCATGCTGGAGGAGCATATGGAGAAAAGAAGAATTTGTGGAATTCTGTAACTGTCACTCTTCTCCTCCGTGTCCCCATTTCTGGGAGAAAAAGCCCATCCTCCCAAACCACTCAGAAGGGAATTCTTTCTCTTTCTCTCATGATTAGGAAGTGGGGAGAACCATCCCATGTCCAGCCCCAAACAGCTATTCAGGAGGGGAGGGGATTGTGTGGGTAGGTGTAGGTGGCAGAGGGAGGGGCGGGTCTGCAAAAGGCTACTGTGGGCTTAAACACACTTTTGCCTGATTGAAATGTGCCAAATTGATGTTGTTTGTAACTAAGATCACCTTTTTTGCTACTTTCTTTAACAAAGTGTTTTTAAACAGTAGCATGTTATTTCAAGTACTTGAAACATAAAATAATAGTGTGGCTCACAAAAACTTTCCAGAAGCATGTTTTGCACTTGTGACTACAAACTTGTTCATACCTAGTATATATTATTTCATTCCAGGTCTCACGAGCTGCGATCAAAGATTCTTTCATTGCAGTTGCTTCTGTCCATTCTGCAGAATGCAGGACCTGTCTTCAGGACAAATGAGATGTTTATAAATGCTATTAAGCAGTATCTTTGTGTTGCATTATCCAAGAATGGAGTTTCATCTGTTCCAGAAGTTTTTGAGCTTTCACTTTCCATATTCCTCACACTTCTCTCAAACTTCAAGACACACCTAAAGATGCAGATCGAGGTATGTTTATAGAATTTTCAGTGACTTCGTTTGCTTTTTAACTGTACCATATTCATGTAGCTCAATGTTTTTTCTACTTTGGAAACACTGAATTTTTCTGAAATACTGTTCACCAAGTTTCTCTCTACTGAGTCTGAGCTCCCCAATATGAGAAGGTCTGAACCTTCCCACCGCTGCACTCTCCCCCACTCCTCCAAAGCCCTTCTCCCCCAAGGACAAAGGGAGCTAGCACTGATAGTATCTTAGCTGTTACTGATAATGCACTTGAAACATCATTCAGGTAGAGCAGAAAGGCCAACATTCTGTATGGAAAGTCTTCTGGAATATTTGTAGAAAATATAGATTGAATTTGCAGTTCTAATGTATGTGTTTTAAATAATGTAATGTTCAAATCTTAGTACTCTGACTCGTTAACTTACCACACAGAAATTATTAGGAAATCCTTTTGGTAGTGGCATGATTAATTTGGAGTGAAAAATGCATTTGTCACTGATAAAAGATTTGTTCTTTGGTGGCACTTAGATATTATGAAGAAGTTGATTGGTGAAACACCCACATAGTCATTGAGTTTTACTATCATGGTCAATATAAGCAAAATCACAGATATAGAAAACAAAATAAGAATAAAATCGGAATCCATGTCACATATACTCATGAATCCATGGGGCTGTGGGTTCCCCTTAAGGAGAGATTAAGTGTTACAGTTTGTCACCATCCTGGTATACGGAGGTCCCACTGAGGGTCAAGTTGATTCCTCTTTTAAGCACCTATTTCTTATACCCACCTATTTTCAAGACCATATTTGATTAAATCTTGGACTCTTGTCATATTTGTCATACCTGCTACCCATTTTTGGGGTTCTGACAATTGTCATAAGCATTTGTGCACATAGAAAATTCTCAATATAATGCAGTTAAGGATGGCTGGCTAAATAAAGCCTTTTCAGCCTAGACAGTTTATCACAAGATATATAGTAATCTTCTGACCCAAGGCTACCTACTAATGCTATCTCTTATTAGGCCTAACATGGCCTTTTTAACTATTTAAATTAATGGAGATATCCCATCTCCTAGAACTGAAAGGGACCTTGAAAGGTCATCGAGTCCAGCCCCCTGCCTTCACTAGCAGGACCAAGTACTGATTTTGCCCCAGATCCCTAAGTGGCCCCATCAAGGATTGAACTCACAACCCTGGGTTTAGCAGGCCAATGCTCAAACCACTGAGCTATCCTGCCCCCTACTACCAAGAAGCCTCAATCTAAGTACTAGGCTTCAGGCTCCTTTTATAAAATAACCTTTAAGTTTCTTTGCCTACTCTTATTTGCATTATAGCTTTAGTTTCATTTGCACTAATTTAGTAATCATCTTAATTCTTTCTAAGAGACAAATGATTATTTACCTGATCACCTGAGCTCAGGTTATTGGTCAACGGTCAAATTTGCTTAAAAAAAAACACACCAACTCCATCATATTTGACTGTTAATGTGTGTTAATTCTCTGGGAAGGCATACTTTCACCTCTTTTATACATGAACAGATTTTAATAAAAGTAGGAAATCCATATACCCACAGTATAGTACACATGATAATTTTGTGATCAAAATGGATATTTACAGAACTGTAGAATCTTAGCTTTCAAGGAAAGGAAAGCTGTTCATAACCTTGTAATAATGCCTTATATATTATATGTAAATAATGCATATGTTCTACATTATGCAAAATTATATACAAAATGTATACAATCTGGGAATAGATCTCTAAACTGGGAATTATATAATCTTCTAATTGGCTGTGTACAGTATTGATGAAGGATAATGATGAGATTCTGAAGTGGCAAAATCTGCAAATAAACTCTGCTGTCAAGCAAAGTTCAGTGATGCAAACAGAAGTTTTAGTTCTAGTATAGGGCATAAAACAAAATATAATATTTTAAAAACTGTGTACAATATAATATAATTGTATTTAATGTAAGAAATTTTAGAATAAAAGATGTGGCTTAAATGGTACTTAGGTTTATTTGGTTTTATCTGAAAACATGTCAGCTGTTTTCCTTTTCTAGAAAAAGCCAAAACATTTGACTGCTGTGGCTACTCTCCTCAAGCATCAAGGCACAAATCTGCTTGTATTTTGATGATTGAATAAGATTCCATTTCATCCGTGTCCTCCGTTCTCAAAGGATGTGCGTACTGTTTCGCTCCCTGGGGTATAAATACAGAAATCCATCTTCATTTCAGCAGCAAGGGTGGAATTTATCAAAGCCCATACAGACACCACAGCTATTAAAGCTTTCTTACCAAAGAGCAGATTCTAAGACAAACAGGAAGCAGTAATCTCTATAAGGCCTTAGTCTCAGTGAAAGTATATGGTGGTTCTGGTGACTTTTAGGCTTTATGGCATTGGGTAACTATTCCGTGCCATTCATAATACTGTCTGAAGCCTCTGCAGTGCTAGTTATGGAAGCGCTCTGTACATTTAACCACCATGGATATGCTGCTGTTTGTTCTCCAAGACATTCAGGAGGAACATCATGTTGGAGTCCCCTCCCTATCTCCCTTACCATCTGTACTGATAATCAGATACCTCAGGAGTCAGTTCAGGTGCTGAATCCTTCAGGGCTACCTCTCAGGGTTGTTGTGAGTATAAAGATATTAACAACAATAATGGGGACCCCATAAGTGCACAATATAGATAGGTTCTTCCCTGTAATCAAATCTAAAACTGTTCAAATGAGAGGGATAATACTGTGGTGTTGTGCCATAGCAGCTGTGAGGAAAGAAGCCAGTCTTGTCAGTTCCATTTCAGAAAGCTGTCATGTTCTGAGAGTGATTAACCCATCATCAGATCACTTTAATGGCTTTGTGTTTACCTGAAAAATACATCATTTTAGAAGACTCCTCAAGCAAGTACAACCATGCATGATATCTCAAGGAGTCAAGCCTGTATTCCCTTTTCCACAAATAAGGCAGATCGTCACTGCATTCTTTTGCCACCAAGAAAAATGAGAGATGTTTCTGGTTCTGTTTCAAGGAAACACAGGAGCCAGCATTTTTGACAGATGTATTTTTTCCTGGACTTCAGCTAGGAGTTCCTTTTGTGTACTCTCGATACCACTGATCCTTTGGAATGGTTGTCCAAACGGCATGGACAGATTGTAATTATTAGCCCCAGACTGGGCTTGGCAGTTGTGGTGAGCTCCTGGAGCTAAGAAGACCCACAAGCTGTGCTTTCTATTACACTGAATCTCTTGTCTCAGGATCAGGGGTAGGATTCTCCACGTAGATGTGAAATTCCTCAGACTGACCGCTTGATTTTGAGATTGAGCACTATATTCTGTTGGAAGGCTTGGAAACCTGTTTGTTTAAGAGGAAGATGCTCTCCACTTGGGTTATTTAAAAAGAAGACCACAGATTGTCATCCATCCTTTTTCATTTTGAACTATTTTATTGCACTTAAACAGCCAGAGTGGCCTCTGGGCTCAATCAGAATCTGTCTGGTTGCAATCTCATCTTTCTTTCCACCCACATATGGGAGCTCTCTCTGTCTTGACTCATCTTACTGTAACAATCTTTCTAAAAGGGTCCATATATTCCATGTATTTCCACAGATGCATGAATCATCATTGTAATGGTAATTTGATCATATTAAAAAAGGTCATTGGGGGTGGGAGAAAAGCATCTGAATCTTTATCAGTCTGTGCAAATAGCATGGCTATAATAACTTGGAGACTTAATGGGGTTTAGGCCCTGATGATTTATTACCAGTGTCCCCCCACCTGTGAATAGCCATCAGGTTTTCCCTGTGATGAACAAAGATAAGTATTTAAACTTTCTTGTCATTAGGTCTTCTCATATGGTGGTTTTAAAAAAAAACCAACAACAAAAATCCCCACCCTCTCAGCTATCCAAGTAATAGACATTAAAATCAGTCTGAGGGTTGCTTAAAGAAACAAATAGTCACCACAATTTTCAGAAAATTAATTTCTCCCCCGACGTATTTGTCCAAAGACCATCCGAAAGCCAGAAGTCTGTTCTCATGGATGCACAGAGATCTGGGCATTCTAGATTTATTTCTTATTGACTGAATTTAGTGTATGACTTTTCCTCTGAGAGTTGTCTGGAGGGTGGAAAAGGACAAAGTTCATGTTATCCTCATAGCTCAGGCCTGGGGCCCATAATTCTGATACTTAGGATTCCTACATTTAGTACTGGAACCTCCACTGATTCTATCTCAGAAACTGGTCATTTACTTGTTTCCAGACTCTTTGTCTAGCAGCATGGATTACTCCTGAGGGCATTCTGTGCCAAAAAATTAAAAATTCTGCACCAAAAAAATAAAAATTCTGCACACAATATTTTAAAATTCTGCAAATTCTATTTGTCAAATAAATATGGAAACTCCAGCATGGCATTGGGGAGCACAGACAACTGGCTGCACAAAGTTGGGAGATCTCTGTGCAGCTCCCCACCAGGGACATGGACTCAGCAGTGAGGCTGCAACCAACCCTGACACAGTGCAAGGATTGGGCCTGCCCCAGAAACACCTCAGGGCTCTGCACCTCTGTACCAGGTGTGGGCAGGAAGGCTCAGCAAGGCAGGATCCAAGTGTGGAGGGGCTTAGTGTGGAGGATCCAGGTGTGGGTTGAGAGGGTTCTGTGTGGAGCAATCTGGTTGCGGGTGTCTCAGTGGGGGATCCAGGTGCAGGGGGGATCTAGATGCACAGGGGATTGTTGGGGAGGGTTCTGGGTGCAACGGGACTCTGCAGAGGGGGTCCAGGTGGAGGTTATTGGGGCTCAGCAGGAGGGGTGTCTAGGTATGGGGGGGATGGAGCCCCACAGGGGGGTCTGGGTGTGGGGGGGTTCAGTGGTCGGTTCCAGGTGCTGGGGGAGTGGGGCTCAGTAGGCTGGGGATCCAAGTGCAGCTGGTTGGGGCTTGCTACAGTGGGGGTCCAGGTGTGGGTGTCTTGTCCGGGTGGTCCAGGTGCAGGAGGAGTTTTCAGAGCTTCCTACAGCCCAGGAAGAAATTTGGAGGTGGGATGCTATGCAGGGGAAGAGGAAGTCCCGTCCTCCTCAGCCCAGCTTGGACTAGCAGCTGAGCCCAGCGTAGGGTAGGAGCCACCAGCTGGGTCTTCCCCAGTCCTGCCCTCTGCCCCACAGTGATTTACCTCTCTGCCGGCTGCCCTGGGCACCCGAAACATACTGCTGGCGAGGGTGCATGACTGCTCTTGTTGCTTCCTTTTGCTTCCCCATCAGAAAGTCATTTTTCTGCGGGGAAGCAAAGAAATCTGCGGGGGACGTAAATTCTGTGTATGCACAGTGGTGCAGAATTCCCCCAGGAGCAATGGATATGTGCTGATACATAACAAATAAGGATGCAGTCTGAGAAAAAATTAATCTTATATATGCTGCTCTGTTTAGATTCTGCAAAATATGGAACCACTGTGGGTATTGCATTTGAAAGATTCTGTAAACGTTAAAACAAGTTGTCTTAGTTGGAAGGGATATGTTCAATGTGGTAGTGATTATTTATTTATGTTATTTTAAACTCTTGGTATTGTGGCCCTGAATAATGCTTTTATCAAATAAAATCAAGTTCAAAAAGGATGTAGTCCTTGATCTGGTTCTTAATGTTTGTTGATCTCTCCATACTTCCCAGTGGCCTTTCTTTACTGTGAGTAGTAACTAGAGAGCTCTGCTGATCTGGGTTTTTTATATATACAATCTAAAGAGCTCTGTGTGGTGGAGATCTGTGCTACACACCTGGTCAAGTCTCGCTTTAAAAAAAAAATGCTTACTGTCAAAGTTACTTAGAGAACACTGTTGCTGTTTTTCCCAAAATAAGTGGATGCTTCTAACCTAAAGCAAAAATAGACTTATCTTAATAGCTACCAGTGGGGGGAGAGATGAAATTTCAGAAGTGGACAATAGCAAGATAGTTTGATGCAGTAGTTCGTATTTTATGAGATGGCGCAAACTAACGGTTCTGTCCACACCCAGGTAACTTGAGCAGCTGCTTGTGCTAGTGTTCTGTGAGTCTTTGTGACTGTTTCTTATTCAGTGGGCATATTTCACCATCAGTATGTCCTTCATACGACAGCTCAGGGCTGTCCTCTCTCTCATACTCTGCCCAATCTAGTTGCCAAGCATGCTCGGTACCACAATCCCACTACTCTAGTTGATTACTCCATTATGGATCTCTGTGAAAGGAAGAGAAAGGAGCTAGGAAGCCAAAGGTCTCCCTCCTCAACCGTTTGGATGAAGGAAGCTGAAAGTGTGGTTCTGAGGAAAAAGAGCCAGATTCATGGAATAGAGATGCGAGGGTCCATGCCACCAGCCCCAGAAGTCAGAGGCAAAGATAGTGCTCTCTGGCCAAGTGTCCAACATCTGTAATCTGGGATTGTAGAATACACACCTACAACCCCCTTCAACTGAAGGTTGTCAGAGTTGTTACTTTTAAACTATCATGTGGACTCATCCTTCTCCTCTACCTTGTGCCATCTCTCTCATAAGTGGGGACCTTTTTTATGACTTAATGCCCCCCCACTCAAGCCCAAACAGATTTGCAAGTCTATTACAGAAAATGGATATTTTAAAAAACATTAAGCAGTTGTACTGTGCAAGAGTATTTTCTCTTGGATTAAGCTGTCCCACAATACAGCCAGCATCTGGTCTTCTTGGATCTGAATAGATGTTTTTATAAAAGATATGATCTAAGAATTATTTTGGGGAAGTTCCATGTCGTGTGCTACATAGAAGGTCAGACTAGATGATCACAGTGGTCCCTTCTGGAATTAGATTTGATGAATCTATAACTACTTCTGGAAAGAGCCCTACATTTATATGTGTAGTGACTTTTTAAGGTCCTGCAGACTGTAAAACCTACTAATCATGAGTAAAAACATATTCCACCCCAAGAGACTGCCTCATATATTATCTATATGCATTCAGTATTGCATGGATCAGAATGTTAGCCTTCAGAGTCAAAAGCTGTAAGTGTTTATAAGAACTGCATGTGGTTGAAATTTAACAGATGGCTTTTTTTCTCTTCCTGAAATAATTCCTAGGTTTTCTTCAAAGAAATTTTCCTATATATCTTGGAAACTTCTACTAGCTCATTTGATCATAAATGGATGGTTATACAAACACTGACAAGGATATGTGCAGGTACTAACAATCCCTTGGTTCTGATTTTTATGTTTGTGTGCTAGACAAGTTGCAGGTGCAAATATCTTTTAATTTTTGATTTTTTTTATACCTATTTCTATTGCTACCTAAGTTTTATCAACATTTCATTTTATTTCATTATTACAGATGCCCAGAGTGTAGTGGATATTTATGTAAACTATGACTGTGACTTAAATGCAGCAAACATATTTGAAAGACTGGTTAATGACCTATCAAAAATTGCTCAAGGAAGGGGTAGCCAAGAACTTGGCATGACTAATATTCAGGTTGGTATTCTGGCAAGTTTTATAAAGTTACAAGTTTGTAGGAATGATGCATATAAAATATTTTAAATAATCTTTTCATTACATTAAAATGTTCTCCGACTTTTGAAATCTCTTCCAGGAGTTAAGTTTGAGAAAGAAAGGATTGGAATGTTTAGTATCAATCTTGAAGTGCATGGTAGAATGGAGTAAGGATCAATATGTTAATCCCAATTCTCAGACAACCCTTGGTAAGATGTTTTGGAATCTTTATGCTTTAGCATTTACTGAGTGGAGATGTGTTGCTCAGGAGCATCACCGTAGTTGCTCAAGTAACTAGGTAACCTGATCCATCAGGTTATTTGAATGGTGCTGTTCAGGTGTTTGGCAGTCATATCTAATATTCACAAAAATGCACAAGCTCTTGAGTTTCTAATACAGGCTTTTTGAAAATGTTTCCAGTTGTATAAGCACTTAAGAAAGCTAAGAGTAACACGTCCTACTTAGCCACAATGGTTTAGTAAGCTTGCAGCACTTAAACACTATTTGTTGCATTAATACAAGAAGCTGCACAAACAAGTGAGCAATATGTCCCATTTGTTAAATTCCTTATGGAACTTTCAGTGCAAAAATTTGTTTAAACCTCGCTGATCTTGAGTTATTTCAATTCCTGAATTAGTAAAACATCAGAAGCTACTTAATTCTATTGTATTTCAATACACTTCTAATTAGAAAAACAGTTCCGTGCGGCTGTTTTATATAAAACTCTGAGTTGAGACTTTCAATCTCCCCTAATTTTTAAATACTGAACTTCGTGTTATTTTGATTAATACTAAATCAGGATAGAGACTGCTTTTTATGTTTTCTAAGGTAAAGCCCAGTAATAATTGCCAGAGCCACAGATGATGAAATAATAATAGCCGTAAACAATGCTCATTATTTTTATTACTATTTCTTATTTCCCTGTGATATATGGGATAACAGAGGCACTGAGAGGTGAAGGCCAGAATGTTCAAACTGAGTATCTAAACACTGGCACCTAAAGTGGTCTGATTATCAGAGATGCTGAGCATCCAGGGCTCCCATTGAAGTCCGTGGGAATACCAGTTGCTTGGCACTTCTGAAAACCAAGCAGTTTAAGCGCAAAGTTTTGAAAATTTTGTCCAGTGTGGCTTGTTCCAGACCAAAGAGGGGAATCAAACCTGGAAATCAGAGGGGAAATACTTACGATTAGAGTTCAGGAGTTCTTGTACAAAGACCGTTATCCCACATCCATGTCACTGCTTTTGGCAAGATAACTGTCATCAATATTATAATGAGAAACACCACTTCTAATGTAAAACTTCATTTTCAAATACATTTTATACTGTGAGAGAGTCCTTTGATATACGCTAGGCACGGGTTTCTATTAAATAACAGTAAAGTAACTCGATAAACCTTAATTTATTTTTCAGATTTTTTCTGAACTGGGATTTTGTAGTTTTTACAATATGTTTAACTTTTTGAAAACAAGACTTGGTTTCCTTTGTTTGCACTTTGTAGGCCAAGAAAAACCTACAGAGCAGGAGAGTAATGAAACCAAACACCCAGAGACAATTAACAGATATGGAAGCTTAAATTCCCTGGACTCTACGGCCTCATCAGGAATTGGCAGTTACAGCACACAGATGTCTGGCACTGACAACCCAGAGCAGTTTGAGGTCCTAAAGCAACAGAAGGAAATAATAGAACAAGGAATAGATTTGTAAGTGTACTTTGTCACCCGTGGAATGGTGGATTCTCAGGCTCTCATGGAACTCTGAGGACTCCCCTGTTTTTTCCCCTCTTCCCTCAGTTACTCCTTCCATCATCCAAAAACCTCTGGATGTAGCAGATGTTCCTCTCATGGTAGAGCTCTAGATACTGCTCCATTTGGAGGCTGCCAACAATGCTCTGTGTGTTAGCCTGTTTCCTCACGGTTAGAGAGGATGAGCATTCTGCCTCTGCCACACTCCTGGCATAAAAGGGGATCCAGACTTGGATAAAAACGTATATTAGATTCATACAATAAATAGACCAGTCAAAAGAATTGACTTTTTGTAATGCCTTATTTGACAAAAGTCTACATATTAGTTCCTTTGAAGGAAATTCTCTGCATGTTATTTCATGGCCCTGTTCGCATGTGAACTGGAGAATAGTTAAGACATTCACTAGAAATGGTTAGGAATTGTATGGTAGAATGGTTTTCTGACAGAAAAATCCTTTTCGGTAAAATTAAAATTTTCCACAGGAAAATTTCAATTTTCACAAGAAAATTGTTCTGAGGCTCTACCACCCCATGACAGCCTACCTGGCAGGTTCTTTGGCCTCCAGGTAACTCAAGGAGCTTCAAGCATTTAGAAAAGATCAAAATGAAGTGTTTTGATCTTTTTAACTAATTTTTGAAATTTCCATTCTGTGGGAAATTTCATTGTTTCATTTCATTTCAGAATTTTTTTTTATTCTGGAATTTATGTGGAACAGAAGTTCCTGTTCCAGACAGTTTGAATGTCCAGCATGCTGGACTTGTGTGGACAATATTACACCACATTAACAGTCCATTGGTTGAAGAGAAGGAAGAATATTTGTATTGCTCAGTGATTTGAGGACTTAGATGCATTTAGACCATCTTTAGAGGGAGTTGCTCAGTTCAGTACCTCAATACTGGCAATCATTAGCAAGAGAAAGTGGTTTTAAAAGACTAAAAGGCATCCCATGATGAATGGTTGAGGGCAGATATTAAATCCTTACTGAAGACTAACCTCTTCAATCTTTGTAGAAAAGACAAGGGAGTGGCCTGTCCCTACTTTGTTTACATTTTTGGCCAATTTAGCAGAGGAAGAAAACTAAAATAACTTTGATTAGCAAATAAAATAATGTATTTTTATGTTACCTATGATATCAGTAAGTTGACTCTTATTTATCTGAGTAAGACTGTGTGTGTGTGTGTGTGTGTGTGTGTGTGTGTGTGTG